GTGCTTGTAATGGCCACAGGAGCAATCAATTATTTATCTGGGTTTGACTCACTTTCTCTGGGCAGCGTTGAAGCTGGGCCATGAGCTCACTCATTGCATCAAATATTAATGGCAGGACTCCTGAGAGAGGGATTTTTTTCTATGATGGTGCTGATTGGCCAGCAAAGGGTCCGTTCTTACCTAAGAGCCAGGGCTAGGGAGCATTTCACCACCGCAATAAACCGTCTCAAAGCTGCAGGAACATTAGTGCCATCTCCCATGGGATGATGCGTGAGCTATTAGGCCCAAAGACACAGGGCTGCTTGCTGGCAAGAAACACTCAGCTCTCGTCACAGGGGCTTTTGGAATTGGAGATTTCAAATGTTCTTCTGGAACCAGCGTGAGCTGGGCCACATTTCTGGCAGGAAGGATGTCTCGTGACTCTGAGAACGGTCCAGCACAAAACCCAGGCAGAGTCAGTCCCAGTTAAAATGGGAGCCTTTGGGGTGAATTTCAAATGAGAAGCTACAACAGGGAGGAGAGCCTGTCCAAGCGTTCCCTGTCCAGCTCTGCTGATGTACCTCCACCCTGAGCTGCAGCATGCTCTGCGTTCAAACCCATGTCCCCCACCCCTCCGCCCCAGTTCTGCTCATGCACCAGCAGCCTGACCTGCAGCAGCTCCTGCTAAGCCGAGTCCTGGTTCTCCTCGTCAGTGGAAATGGCCAAATTAGCCAGTAGTTTTGTCCTACAGACACATGAACGTTGCAGCGAGGTGGACCCAGTTTATCTCCTGCTGGGATTTGAATCTGGGTTCTCCAGAGGCATGTACCTAAACCAGTATATCTCCGGGCATGTGTCAGTGCTCACACTCCATCCTCTCCACCCCATCCCTGACTCAGCAACAGTAAGGTCTGCTTAGAAGGAACATCAGGATAGATGGGACAATAGGACTCTGCCTGATTCCCTCATCTCAGGGGGCTTCTCTTGCCTTCCAGAGTGTCCCATCCTCTATTATCCATTGGAAGTTTAACATTGAATCCTGACCAAATTACTGATGGGCTTGCACTTTGCAGGTTACATTCTCACTGGTATGGAGTTGCATTTGGCCAAGGAGGTGCAGCTCTGGTGAAGGTTGGCTTGGGGTGTTGAAAAGTTGTGGTTTGACAGGCTGATACAAGGCAGATTTCACCAAACAGAAGACCGATTGGTTAGCTCAGTGACACGGATAGCGAAGGGTTTTCCTGTAATCTCTCCTTTCTGATAACTCCTGTGTTGGGCAGATTTGTGCCTGCTGACACCCACTGGAACATCCTCCTCTCCCGTCATTTAATCATAATTCTGCTACGTTTCCCCTGTTGTCCACATGTTGGTGCGGCCAAGGCTCCATCCATAGTGCGATGTCACACTTAGGGCTTGGCTACACTGTACAGCGCTGCAACTTGCTGCGCTCAGGGGTGTGAAAACGCCCTCCCCCGAGCGCAGCGAGTACAGCGCTGTAAAGCGCCAGTGTAATCAGAGCCTGTAGCGCTGCACGCTCGCTCGCAGCGCTGCAAGCTATTCCCCTCGGAGAGGTGGAGTACATACAGCGCTGCGAGAGAGCTCTCGCAGCGCTGGGAAGTCCCAAGTGTAGCCAAGGCCCTAGTCACTCTGCCGTGTGCTTCACCACAGAGACTGGGCAGATCTCAAGCTGGAGCTAGGGAACACTCCCGTTTGGCCAGGGAGGTGCACACCCGGCTTGCTGAACTGCAAAGAAAAGGTTGAAGTGAGGGGGAAATAGGAGACAGAGACAAAGGGGGACCCGGAAATGGGGGCTGGGAGGTTAGGCTTTGAGCGACCAGCTTATCTCAGGCCTGAGCCATTTCGTCCATTTTGAAGCCTGATCATTTTTCTTGCAAAAAATTCCGAATCGCTTGTTCGAGAATCGGTTCATTATCGAACCCTGTGCCAGACCCACCCTGCAGGAATTCCACGCCAGCTGGGCTGCCCTACTTGTCTTGGGAAGGGGCAGTTTCCCACATGTGCTGCCCCTTGCCAGCTGGAGAGAGGAGTGCTGACCTGGAGGAGGGCTCAGTCTTCTTGCCGATCCAGCCCAGGGACTCTCTGCTGAGGCCGACAAAGGGCCCAGATTCGGGCAGGGGTAGATTGTGTCTTGCAGACACTTGGCCACAAGGGCTGATTCCACTAACCCCGTGAACATGTTTTATAAACCTGAATAGCAGATCGCAGCCAGCGCGAGAGTGGGCCGTGTAACAAGCTGCTGTTGTTGCAACCAGTTCCCCTGGACAATCTTGCTGCTCTGCGATGTGTGTGTTAATCTGCGGGTATCTCTCTTGCCTTTTCAGTCAGTACCGAGGTGAGTCATGGCTGTGCGAAAGGCTGTGACCTGTGCTCTGAGTTCAACGGGTGCCTGAAATGTTCCCCCAAACTCTTCATACTGCTGGAGAGGAATGACATCCGACAGATCGGGATCTGCCTGCCATCCTGTCCGCTGGGGTACTTCGGTGTTCGCAATCCAGACATGAACAAGTGCATCAGTAAGTGCCAGGGCCTGGGAGAGAGAAAGATACAAAACAATGCTCTGCACTTATAGGTCCTCTCATCCAAGGCTTGCTGTGAGTTAACCCTTGCCTGCCCCCAGGAGGTGGATAGGTGGTAATATCCCCATTATATGGATGGGGGAACTAAGGCACAGAGAGGGAAAGTGACTTGCCCAGAGAATACCCACAGAAAGGGATCCCTTTGTGACTTGCTGCTTGCAGCCCTGAGTAAGGCATGAGAGCAGAAGAGAGATGTATCCTGTTTTGCACCTGAGATGGGAATGTAATTCTCTCCCCTGCAGAGGTGGCTGCGTTTCCACCCACAAATGCAATGTCCCATCGGGGTTGATTTGAAACAGATTAAGAAGCAGCAGCATGCGTCATAAGCTTTTCCAGTGCCACCTAATGACTCCTGCCACGCCAGGGTCAGTGGAAGTAGTGAAGTGAGTTTACCTAAGGTTGGAAAGAGCACACACAGATTGTCCTGCAGAGAGAGAGAAATCAGTGGACATTGACCTAACGATGGCCTGAAAAGCCTGTCTGGCATCCGTTAGCTTGGACATCAGCCCCTCCTCTCAACTTTTGACTTGCGTTTTGGCTTCTTTGTCTTTAGTCAGGGTCCCCAGGGACCTAGGCTTGGAGCTGACTGCAGTCATTCTTGTTAGGAACAGGAAATTGTAGAAATTAGGTGGGAAGTGCAGAAATGTGGCTCAGAGCTACTGCAAGAGAGTGTAAATTGGTGCAACTCTGCTGAAGTCAATGGAGCTACACCCAGTTACACCAACTGAGCGTCTGGCCCAACGTAGGTTGGGAACAAATTGTGCTTAAACCACGGAGAGCCTCAGCCAGTGACAGACAAAATGTCCTCACGGGCCCATCAGCCAGGGTCAGGTTGCTATCATGGGTCTTTATAAGATGGGCATGGGGCAGGCTGGGGGTGGGGGTGGGGGAGGTGAACTGTCAAACAGAAAGAATTAGAGACTTCTTGTTTTGTTGTGTGAATGGTCTGGCTTATCCACCGGGTCAAAGTGATGCTAACATACTGGTGTCATAGCTGTCCTCGCAAGGTAACCCAGGTATAGCTGCAGGCGTGGGTGCCCACCTGGATTTGGGTCTTGAGGTGGGCATGCTCTTACTTCCAGGATCTTGTGCGGTATCTGGGGAACCAGTGCCCCAGATGCCACCTTTTCCTTCGTCTGCCCGTCCATAATGAATTGGGTCTTTGGCCTGGGTCTGTCTGTCTTCTATTGCAAGGGGCTGGGCCAACTGAAACGCCAGTGAGTGAGTTGGACCTACGGACAATCCTGGGGTCATTTCATTAGCAGCTTTGTAGAACCTGGCACCACAGCCAGCTTCTGTAGCCCACACCGCAGCTGCGTAAGGAGTGACCGAAACCGGACTCAGCTCCTTGTGTTCTTCCATTTTGGCTGATTGTCAAACTGAACATGAGCCCAACCTGATTATGTGATAACTTCAGCAGAGCGGCTCTATCTTGCAAGAAGGGGCAATGGCAGAAGGAAACCAGTTTCCTTCTTGGTAGCACAGCCAGGCCTGGCAGAGTGCTCAGAGACATACACTGGCTGTCTGCAGATTCCAGGGGGCCAGGAGGGCTTTCTAGTGGGGTATCTAGACCTCCCCTTTGCACAGCTCCACTCTTCCTTTTCCCTCTCCAGCAGATGGTGCCCAGTCTCCGCCTTGAAATGTAACTTGACCGCAATACACACTTTCCACTTTCTGTACATAAAGGCCACAGAAGCCTGCCGGGAGTTGCTTTTCAATCATATCCATGGATCTGCTGATTTTGGCCCTGGGGGTAGAATTCAAACTATGTGGCTGTTTTTTTTCCCTTTTTCCTCCCCAGAATGCAAAATTGAGAACTGTGAGGCCTGTTTCAGCCGAAACTTTTGCACAAAATGTAAGGAAGGTTTGTACTTGCACAAAGGGAGATGTTATTCCACCTGCCCAGAAGGCTACTCTGCTGCCAATGGCACGATGGAGTGCAGCAGTCCTGGTAAGTGGCATTAAAGCTGTTATAGCGATTGATTTGTCTGCCGGGTCTTGCAGCATTCTGCAGGCTCAGATTTGTGCTGCCTCCCCTGTCTGTATGCAACAGCGTATTAACACTTGCCTGCTTTCGCTGCTGCTCCTCCATCACACCTGCTGTATTTCAGTGACGTCCCAGGAACAGCAGTGACGTGCTAGGGTGCCAGAGTGGGCAGCCCAGCAAGTATCTACTCTACCTGTATGTGAATGTAGCAAGTAGCAGCTCAGCAGGTGCAGTCTAGATGACCTGGAGGTACCTGAAGGGTTCGGCAAGAGCCAAGAAATTCCAGCTGATGTTGTTGAAAAGCTTTTCTCTTTCCTATGAGAACATCCCAGTAAATCTGGGGGCGCTATAGTCTTTCCTCCCAGGAAACCCAGAGTGTACATGTGACCTTTCCTGCCTGGAGACAGATTTTCCCTGTAAGACATGCACCTGAACCCCCCTGCCCGCATCCCTGCTGTGCTGTGCAAAGCCAGGCAAACAAGAATCTGCCTCTTCATTTGTTCTTCAGTGGTTGCATATTTGCATCTGCAAAAAAACAAAAAACAACAACAAACAGTCAGGGGCTTAACTCTGCAGGAAGCTCTCCGCCCTTGGCAATTTAATATTTAGTTGCAAAATGCGTGATCGGTTTTCTGTGTCGGTTGCTTTAAAGCATAGTTGTGGTTTGGAAGATGTCAATAAACCCTGCAGGGGACAAGGCTAGCTGCAGCAGCATTCTAATGAGTGAAAGTACAGCCAGATACTCAACCTTCTGGGATCCTACAGCACACTGTCCCGCTTCATTGTTTGTTCATTGCTTCTCCGAAACACCTGCTGCTGAGACTCACGAGCTAAATGATGGACTCAAGGATATAACTGCCCCAGGAAGGGGCAGGGGGAGCACACCTCTGCCCTGCTAAAGGCCCAGATGTGGGGTGCAGTGGGTCCCCAAATGAGCACACACAAAAATTATCTGTGCAGGAAACTTAAACTGCGGCAGGCTCCCCTCCCTTCGTGCAAATGGCTCCTCAGTCTCACCAGTCTTTGTTTGTAAAGTAAATAATTTTTGGCAGTGAAAATGAGGGAGCACCGTGTTTGTGTGCAATGCGGGGACGTTGGGGGCCAGGCGGGGTGGGGTCCCTCAAAACGAGGGATGTTCGGGAGGTGTGCGGGGTGCGGCAGAATGCAGGCCAGAGCCATGGGGTTATTTGGGTTAGGCAAACATCAAAACGTGCAGATGCGCCCGTTGTTGGCACCCAGCTTCATGTGGGCGAGGTCCGTAGTGACCCACGTCCGGGGTTGCCAAAAGGGAAAGGCCACATGAGTCTAGGAGACGAGCGAGTATAAAAACAGGAAGGGACCGTGGTGACTTGTTCTCGGAGAGGCAGATGTGATGCGCTCCGAGGGTCCAGGCTCAGCATGTTCGAAGCGAGGCTTCCCATTCCCCCGCTGGGCCCCCGGGACCCTGCTGGGCTGGTGGAGCAGAGAACTGGCCTGGGGGAGCTGTCCCCTAGGGAGTGATGCACTGAGCCGTCTGGCTGAGACGAGGTGCAGGCAGAGCCTTCTCCTCAGGCACTGAATTGTTACGCAGTCCCTGCCCTTGATTGCCACAGCCCGTTGTGGTGCAGCCCGGAACTGGCGTTTGGACCCCAAGCGTCTCGCAACAGGCCCAGAAAATTCCCTTCACAATAGATTTCCCCCCATTGTTTAAGTGTCTGAATAATGCCGGAGGCTCAGCCCCAGAGCTCTGGCTGGGCTGGGGTGTGTGGGAGTATTGCACCTCGCCGGAGGCAGCTCTGGGGGAGACAGACATCTCTCTGGGATGCTGGGTGGCACGGGGGAGGGGAAGGACTCCAGGGACGTGTTGGGGGCACTGGGGAAAGTAGTTTCTTCCTGACTCTCTTGCTGTCTGGCAGCACAATGTGAACTGAGCGAGTGGGGCCCCTGGGGCCCGTGCGCCAAGAAAAGGAAGCTGTGTGGCTTCAAGAAAGGCAACGAAGAGCGATCGCGGAAGGTTCTGCAGGCTCCCTCTGGAGATGTGTCCGTGTGTCCTGCCACGACAGAGCTCCGGAGATGCACCGTGCAGAAGAACCAGTGCCCTGAAGGTGAGCTGATGCCAGGGCATTTCACCCTCTCCCTTTGGGGACTCGTTCTGTTTGCTTGGCATTCACATTTCGTTTCAATGCAGGGTGTAACAAACCAGGCCCTGTCAGGAACCTGACAAGGGCAGTCGAGACCCAGGGTCAGAGCAGGGGAAAACCTGGGGCTGGGAGTAGCAGAAGAGTTCGTAGTCAGGTTCCAGGCTGGGGTTGATACCGAGAGTCAGAATCCGGTTTCAGGCTCCGAGTCCGAAGGCGAAGTCCAAATTAAGCTGAGGGCAAGGCCAGGCACTCAGGAGCCAGGGGCAGGAATGGTGCTGTTGCCTGGACTTCCTGGAATGCTCTTTGGGTTTATATAGGGCGGGGAGCCAATCAGGAACCATCAGGCTGCCCCATGTCAGACCCCTTGAGGAGGGACTTCCCCCGGTCTGTGTCCTCAGCGGGTCATGGGCAGTGGAGCGCAGACTGGGTGGCATCCTGGAGATGCCCCACTGCCTGGCAGCTCTGTAGGTCCGGGGTTGAGACCGGCTGGGCCTTCCAGCCCCCAAATAGGCCCTGCTTTGTGCTGCACCTCCACAGGACAGACACGTCTGTGCTGCCTGATCCTCCTTGCCACAGCCCGAACCGACAGATGTGAGCAGCTGTGACGTGTTTCATGCAATGTCATGAGGCACTGAGCCTCTAGCCTTGCTCTTTACAGCGTGTGTCCAGTTTGCCTTTCATAGGAACGCAGCCCTGCCAAAAGCCTTTCGGGGCGGGTGTGCAACACGACAACTAGAAAGAACACCTGGCTGTAAAAACAGAATGAGCCACTGAGCGGTTAGTTCTAATAGGATCAAGCTTAAAAAGTCGTCCCTGGACACAGCTTGCCGTGTCTGCTGTATGTTGGCGTTCTTATTCCATTAGCTTCTTCACTGGAAATAGAGAACACGCCAAGACAGACCAGCAAAGGGCTGGAGCTCGTAGCCAACTTACAATGCAATGGTTGGGGTATTCTTCCTCTCTAGTCCCCTTTGCAGATTGCTGTATTTTCTTTGCTGTTCCCAGTGGATTCCCTTTCTCTGAACACGAGGCTATTTCCTTCCCATCAATGAAAAATACTGTTCACAGTCACTGGACTTGTGAACTCATGGAGGCTGGTGGCTTGTTCATTCCCCTCCTG